TCCTACACAGCTACTACAAAACTACAAAAAGACAATGCAACTGTTGACATCAGCAGCAGCTCGAAGTACTTGAAGATGCCGCCCATGCAGACCATCGCCAATACCAGGTACGTGCCCTCACATCATCATCATCATCCTCATCCTTCACCTATCCCCTGACTTCACCCAACACCTGTCCTCCCTGTCACCCGAAGACCACCCCTGCACTTCACTGTAGTCCAAGCCCACCAGCTATGGTGGCTGGGCTATGGCGCTGCCCTTGGCAGCGCCCTCCTCCTCTGCACGGCCGCACGTGCTGCACCTCGCCTCCCAGCGCTAGCAGCAGCCCACGAGCCTCTGCTCAAGCAGCGCTGCCGCCAGCGTGCGAGTGCCTGAATGAGGCTGCCTGGCCAGAGCTCTTTCCTTTATGGAAAAGAGCTGGCCAGCTCTCGCAGCCTGGCTGGGCTGGCCTGGGCCCCAGCAGCTTCCGGAAGGCCCCARGATGCTGTCTGGATGCAGCAGCTACTGGGCTGCTGGGCCTCGTTCGGTTGGGAGCCCAACTGTCTCTGTATGAGGCTGCAAATTTCGCCCAGGTCCTGCATTCTTTGGAAAGGCCCGGTAGGCCGTGGAAATGTGTTCGGTACTCGGCCTGTGTTTCTTTCAACCAACTGGTGCGTCGCAACTGCCTGGACCCCGAATATGAAATTGAGGGAAGAGGGCCTCTTGCAAAAAGCCAGGCCCGCCTTCACTTAGGGCGGGCACCTCCGCCTTCACTTAGGGAGGGTAAGGCTGCAGATGGGGCCCAGTAGGCCTACCGAGGACACTGATCCTCGCAACAGTCTGCACCGAAGGCGCTGTAGAAGATATAGTTCACTGCCTAGTGCTTTGTAAAGAGGCTACTGAATACTGTGCGAGAGCTTCATCACTCTGGGACTCCCTCTTCACATCTCCCTTCCCCGAGCAACCCATTCAACTTCTCCTCTTGACTAACATCCCTGATCAGGCGCAAAAGGCAGAAAGGATCTGGTTTGAACTCATCAGGAAAGTGACCCTATGGGTCATATGGAAGGAGAGATGCAGCAGGACAATTGAGGGACGGTCTAACCCACGGGAGAAGGTGTGGATAGAAACCAGAACATTGATACAAGCTGAGATCCTCTGCAGATGGCGGAAGACCAAACAAGCTTGGACAGAAGACGAAAAGCAGCGTAAGGAGAGGCAGAGATTCTACAGGAATTGGCTGATAAATGGCAGGATTGCAGAATTGCGAGAGGACCGGGTATGCTGGAAGGAGTGGCACAATTCAGTACCAGAAAGAGGCTTTCACCAGCAGGCAACGTCTGAGGGCATATTCGCATCCTAGGCCTCAATCGAATGTAAGCGGCCCCTCAGGGGCCCAGGGGGTACGAACAAAGAGGAAACATGGGAGAGAGAAGGACAAGTTAAGAGTAAGTGAAAATACGGGAGCATGAACGTGGGTTACAAAGGAAGGCTTTATTGCAGGGGGCCGGAAGCAAATCAATGCCTGCCAATGTCCAAGATCGGCTACTGGAGGTTGGGCGCACAGGCGAGGGGTTTAGGGTTTAGGGTTTTATCGTAGATCTTCCAAAGGGGCAGGGAGGTGTGTGGGGAGGAAACAGGTCGGCAAGGATAACGGATGAGCTCTTTCTAGGGACAATGGCGCTATCTGGCAGACCTGGACTCTAGGTCTGAGAGGAAAGAGAGGGATAGGGCAAGCTGACAGTCAATCCTCCACCGCGGTGGAGCAATCAATGCTGTTCAGGGATCCTTCGGCCTGACAGAAGGAAGCGTGTGTGAGTGTTCTTGATGTAATGTATATTTTGACTTGCCGGTGGAATAGGAACTGGACTGACGCTCCCCAGAATAGAAGGAGCCAGGACCATAAGGCCCTGTTTTGTTCGAAAAAAAAAAAAAAAAAGCTCCAACCAGAACATGTGAATTATAGCTAACCAACACACTTTTACCTACCTGTAACCTGTTCAATAATTGTGTGGTACACATGCAACAAAACATTGATTCTCTTCAGCACTGCACACATAGCCAGATTTCCATTGAATAGAGGAGCACACTTCGTGAAAAACAAATTGGGTGAACCGAGGAGATGGCACGAGGCATACACAAACCACACATTTTGCCTTTCTTGGGGTGTTTTTTTACAAGTGGCATTCCGACCTCAAACTGCTCATAACAGTTTGGAAACTGATATCCTCACTCAGAAAATTATCATACAGAAGAGCAAGATTGTGAATAAACAACCACAAGTTCACACCCTGAACTCCTGCAAGCCTCACACCATACTATTATGCAACACAAACTGATGCTCACTAATGTGGCAGCGAACCATAACCAGTGACCATCCGGAAGATCCACCATAACTGACTCTCAAGCCAACAGCCCCCTTTTCGGTACAGCTCGAGAATGGCCTTTGCACTGTTTGCAAGAGTTTGTCAGGCCTGACTGTGCCTGTCCTGAACTGGATGGTTATTCCTTGTGGAGTACCTTGCAGGAGTTTTGTCAGGCCGTCCGATAACTCGGGCATTGGCGATGATCATCTATGTTTTACTCTCGCTTAACAGCATCGCATACACAATTCAGGCAGTTAGCTCAAACTGCCAAGTTGAAAAATGGATCATATACTGCCTGGAAGATTTGGCTTGACTTGGAAGCAAGCACCCAATCCAGCGACATGCTCAATGAAAGTCAGACACAGTGCCAAGAGCATGCTCTGAAACATGACATCCATCTCACCTTTTCTTGGAACTGTTTACCTGAGGAATAATAGTTCTAGACGTGTATCATTTCAACACTGAGTCGGCACTTTCCGTGCACTTCCCAATTCAATACTGCGTGCATAAGGCACTGGCACTTAATCATGCTCACACATGGCCTTTCTGAGATGTTCTGGTCGCGTCCGAAACATCCAACTGTGTTACCTAAGTCAATCCACCTAGCATATTGGCAACAAGGTAACAGGGGTATGTACGTACTCGACCACACTCGGCAGCTTGTGTCAAAGGCAAAAATGTGCTTTCCCTAATTGCTCTCACAGGGTGATCACTCTCTGGACAGATGGATAACTAGAACATGTTTCCAACATGCATGCACCAACATCACGGGCTAACAGAAACGGATGGTGACTTTGGAAGATCCAAAGGAGACTTGCCTTCCCTCTAAAATTCGCATCCAGAAGAATGTTATCAGACTTCACATCCCGATGAACAAACGTTGGCTGCATCTGCGTGTGTATGTATTTCAGCCCTTCAGCTGCATCCAGTGCTATCTGCACTCTCCTCAACCAGTCCAGCACATGACCTGCGCCCAAAAACGAAAATTGGCAGCCTTGCCACGAGTAAATCCCCCCCTCCCCACTGTACCAACACCCCTGGCACACCTGCCGGAGGTTTGGGCAAACCTCCTAAGACAACCAACTCACTGCTGCATTTGGCGCTATTTTACCAAACATAAATCCTCTGCGAGTTGACTGAAGGTTCCAAAGTTCAACAATTCTTCTCTTCCTTTCACTGCCATAACCCAGCGCACTTCCCCCTTTGTGTGCCGGGTGCTATAGGCAACATATATGCACTTCACCTTCAGCTGTTATGTGACTGAGGCAAAATAAAGCAGCAGTACGTTTAGGCCTAAAGCGAAGTTTAGCTCCCGTAATACCGTACTTTTGATTTTTTTAATTTGGACCATTTCTCGATTTGTGTGTGTCATCCTTGTGCAGGGGCCATGCTAATCTTCTCTGTATCGTTCCAATTTTAACGGATGTCCTGTACGACCCATAATACCGTACTTAAGCAGTAGTTTAGCGCATTTACAGAAGTGTCCTTGTTGGTTCGGCCTGTTTTTGGTTACCAGTTTAGGACCCAGAACTCAGAAGAAATCACAAAAATAAGCCTGTTAAGTGTACAGCCGCTACGAAACTGCAAGAACATTGCACAGCAACTTCCCACCTGGCTCAAGGACAGGAGTGTCCTTGTTGGTTAGGCCTGTTTTTGGTCACCAGTTTAGGACCCAGAACTCAGAAGAAACTTCAAGAAAGCACAAAAATAACCCTGTCAAGTGTAAAAGCCCGCTACGAAACTGCAAGAACATTGCACAGCAACTTCCCACCTGGCTCATTGGACTCAGGCTACCTCATACAGCTGGGATTCTTTGCATTATTTCTGGAAAGTAGTGGGAGTGTTATCCACCGCTGCAATGAACCCAACTTCCAAAGCTTACCATCGACTCACACATGAACTCACGAGGATCAAATCAATGATAACCACCAAAATGTCTGTGTAAAGAAGGAAAAGCAAGACCCTGGACATATCCTTACAAATACAAACGATAAGTACAATGTTCAAGTTGCGCCTCCCGTTTTTCCGTCCTGGATTTCTCTCTCGCCATCTCAGTGTTACATGCCCAGTTGGGCGATGTACATAAGGATCCGCAATGCGATGAAAAGGACTGAATGGACAATGCAGTGCTAGTGGAATCTCAACAAGCAGTGTACATCCTGATACATACAAAAATGGTGCTTTGTAGCGCAGTGGAAGACTTAGATATAAGTCCTGACCTGACCGGGACTGACCTCCCTCACGTAGTACAAGACAGCGTAGCGGAATGCTAGAATACCAATGACTAGCTCAATCAATGTCGCAACGCAGACCAAACATACATCATCCTCATCACAAGGTGTGAAGGGGCCTGGTGCTACACACAGGAAGAATGCGCCAGGTCCAGATCATGCACAGACGAAGAGGAGGGAATCAGACGAAGAAGAGGGGGCGAGATGGGAATGTTGTCAACACCAAGTCTTCATTACAAGTCCCAGATAATCCCTCGTCAAAATGTCTGAAGCCCAATGTCGAGTCTGGATCCAAAAGTCACCAATCCCGCTCTCTCGTAGTCTGCTGATGCAGTGAAGTCAGGTAGCGAGAGGGTGAGAGGGAGATGGTGGACTGAGAAGAGGAAGAAGAAGAACTCTCTCTCTCTCTCTCATGTGCCAGGTACTAACCTGTGAAGATGGCGCTGTGCTGCAGGTACCTTGAAGACGAAGCTGGAGCTATGGTGCTGCAGGTAAGTCTCCCTGGCCTCCGCCCAATCTCTCTCTCTCTCCCCAGTACTACTCCAGCTCCTACTAGCGCCCAGCGCTGAAGACTACTGCTAACGCTACTACTACTACTGCAGCGCTCCTCCAGAGTGCTGCTGCCGAATCCTGATGACTATCTCCTGCCTCCTGAACTGCACGTGAAGTGCCTGGGAAGTCCCTATGAACTACCTCCAGCCTGCAGGGCGGGCCAGTCTTATATAGTGCTGGCAGGAGGCTGCTCTTGCCAATGCCAAAACGTGCCAGACCCTGGTGTTGAAGCTCAAACAAGGGTTGTCTTGAAAACAGGACCAAAATGGCCTGTGCTAAAACCCTGGTCTGGTGCCTAGGTTTCAGGGCAGGTCGATCTTACAAGGGCCTGAAAATGGCCCTCCGTTTCAGGCTGAAAAGACTCAGGGCCTGGAGGGCCATGTTTTAGGCTGAAATGACAGAGGGCCTGTAGGCCCTTGTTTTCAGGCTTTCAGGCTGAAAACGACACGGGCCTGAAAATGGCCCGTGCAGCCTGTTGCAGGCGCAGCATGTAACAGTGGGTACAATGCGTACAATGGTAAGTTGCTTTTCCCTCTACTCAGTCTACTGACTTTCTTCTCCGCACTCCTTCACCGCCGAACCGGACATAATGTCAGACTCCAAGCCAATCTCTCTGGCGCTGGCCTATGCAACGCTAGCGCAGTAACAACAGAACTTGAAATGACTATGCCCGTCTTCTGAAGCAGGATGGAGTCTCCTTCTTCAATCATGTCAACATTGCCACCCTGAAGCTATCGTGACCTTCCCTCTCATCCCTTGACCTCACCATCACCAGTGGCACACACGTCGTCCATTGATGCACAAATGGCGACAGAACGAAGCCTTGGAAGATAAGTGCCGGTGATGCATGCCTGGGATCCGGGGCAACGGCGAGTCCAAAGATCACCAACAAAGATCACCAAATGAGGAAGAGATGCAATGCAACACAGTGGAAGACTCGAATCAGATAGGATATGACCTGACCATGCAGCAAAATGACAATCTGACTCAGACCCGATCTCACACCAGCCAAGGAGGGGTCAAAACCATGGCTATGATCTGGATACCCAGACTGACCAGAGTCCGGTGTCTGTACCTCAGTCTGCATGGTTGCAAGGGGGGGGGAATCCCAATGTTTTTTTGACGGCCCAGGTCATTTTCGTCCATCCTGGCCTGGTGATGCTGGCGTGGAAAAGCATTGGCTGTCTAGCATCCATACAGGTGCAATGACTTGCTGTTTTCTGGTTGCCTGTAGCCTCTCTCTGTCGAGGCTGTACTATTGGTAGGATAATTCGTAATTTTGTTTGGCTGAGGGCTAACCGAGAGACCTACCTGTGAGGGAAATTCGAGAGGTACATATCTGCAAATTCGGGAAAAATGCAGGCCCGGTACTAACAGAACTCCCTACCGCTACCCTAACTGCAAATAGCAGGCCCGGGCTACCCCTAGGACAGACAGGCCCTAAGGGCCTATTCTGATAGACGGTCCTATAGCCTATAGCCGGGTCCGGCAGAGGCCGAAAGGCCGAAACAGAAACAGTACCGGTCAGTCAGTCAGTCCGGTCTAGGTCGAGTCTAGGCTAGGTTAGTCTATAGATAGTATGGGCACATCGGTTCAGGGCTTTTGGCAGTTGGTACCGAGTACATCGCTGCTGCGCTACGTGTGAACCGGAAGTGGTGACGGCTCAGCGTGGAAGGAGACAGGCATAGCCAGACCTTCGGAGCGCCGGCCATAGCTGGGACCTGCGCTGTACTCTGCCAGCACACAGGGGCTGACAGAGGTCTGGGCTATCGAGGTCTGCTGGAGGCGAGAGAAGTTGGTGCCCTGCTGGACCCTCCTCCAGAGTGGGGTTCCAGCGTGGTGGCGCTGCAGCCATAGCTGCAGCTTCTTCCTCAGAGGTCATCTTGTCAGGGTTTGGTGGCGCTGCTGCAGACTTCCATCCGGGAAGTCCTCTGACACTTCGTCATCATCAGATACTGTGGCGCTGGCCTTCTTCTTCATCCTCTGAGTGGCGCTTGGCCTCAGAGGCCTGTTTCAGGGTGGCGCTTCCTTTTGGAGGCTGTATCTGGGTGGCGCTTGATGTTTCAGGGGCTCAGGGGTGTTACGAGTGGCTAATCAGGGTTGGGGAGTGAAGCGCTGCTCATCTCTGAGCAGCACACTGTAGTACTGAAGTTATCCTGACAATTTGAGACTCTGAGTTTAATAAACAGTGTGTAACTGGGTTTGGACTATCATCGTTTCATTGTTTTCCTGGATGTGATCTGCTCGGCTTTTCTTTATGACTGGTTGTGAGGATTGAGTGGAGTGAATTGCACTTTCAGTGTACCCTGCCATATCTCATGGTCAAGTCTTCCGCTGTGTTTATCTCTCCCTGTGCGGTGTGATACTCCTATCCTCTCCCCTTCCTTCTGTGTATGTATGGGCATACCTGGAAGTCTATGTGTGCGGGTGTTGGTCTCAGACAACAAACAACCAGAATCATAACACAGGGCCGGAAGGAGGCCATTTTGTAAAGTTCTTTTCTCTTCCACGGACGTTGTTGTGCCCTTCCCTCCGGCAGTCTTTGAATTAAACCAACCTCTTTACCTTTTTGTTTTGCACAAGAGAATTAATCTGCCGTTTCAAACCTGCCTGTATCTCCCCAGGATCAGACCCTTAGTACATTTCCCCCAAAAACAAAGAACAACTTGGAAAAATGGAAAGCAAAGATCCCTTTTTCAGAAAGACAACAGGGCTGTCAGAACGGCCACCTGCACTGAATCGAGGGACTTTCAGTCCCTCTGTTTTCTCTCTGCCCGCCACGCTGTTAGCAAAAAGCTGACGGTGAGATTCAGCCCTGGCTGTATGGTACAACCGTGACCTATCCAGATGCAGAAGTGCCTGTTGGACTCAATTTCGTAAGGGTGTTGCCCTTCTTCTTCTAGTAGCATGGCTGTTTTTAAGATTCACAATCCAGGATTCAAAAAATAGTAATACTATGTTCAACAAAAATGGCACAGTTCCCATAGCCCGACTTGGGCACGCTAAGACAGCGATCCAATTATTTTTGTCATACTAGTGCACTTTGGACATGGACATTCCTCTGCAAAATATAACAATTTGGTTTACTAAAGATATTCTCATTCAAAAGTTGGGAAAAAAAAGAAAAGAACAAGATGTCAAGATCTCCATTTCAACATGATGTTCTCACATAATTACAGTCTTGACTCTTGAACAGCCCCACAAAGATCATATGTTCTGTTTACCAAATGTATGAAACAGGGCAAGGCTCCCACAACCACACTTGGGTCAACTTTGTCTGATGCCACCAAAATTGAAAAGAGTTTGGGGCCTTTGGGCCCTAAAACTTCTTCCCCTGTACACTTCCGAACTCCCCATCCTGATATTCGCCCTCAAGCATCAGAATACGTTCTTCTTGTCTTTCTTGCCTTTTGTCATCCACAGATTGGGGACTCATTTGGTTGCCTTCATTCAACAGCCTCTTACCTTGCCTGCTCCTGAGGTTGAAGCTTAGCGAACCATTCGCGCAGTACTCATATACCAAGCAAAGACATTTACGATTGCAATATCCCAGCAACCGAACCTGAACGGACAAAGAACGTGTGGGTTGTTACGATCCTGGTCATTCCCAAAGTGCAAATTCACAATGAAAGACAATGCCACCCAATTGCGAAAGAAATGAAAGCACTTGCAAAGAGATAGAGACCAGAGGAGAGAGAAAGAAGAAGAAGAAGAAGAACATGTACACCAGCAAGACCAATAACAATTCCCCCTTCTCTCTCCACCGTCCTCCTCCTCCTTCACTTCGCCAATCTTATTCTTCTCCCAATAATAATAATAACAGTAAGTGGATGAACCAGAATCAATATCCGAAGTTCCCTCTTACAGCTGACTCAACAACAACAACAACAACAAGTCCACCATAGCTATGCCTCCCCCCTTCGGCCTCCTCTCACATGCATAGGCTATGGTGGACTACTGAGGAGCCCGCCCTCCTGTCCAAAGGACAACCCAAAGCAGCTATGGCGCTGCTCTCCTGTCCAAAGGACAACCCAAAGCAGCTATGCTGCTGCTGACTGGTCCGCCATGCCTGACTCTGCCTCGAGCGTCCTTGGTGCGGCACTACCCCAACTGGGGCCTTCCAGATGCAGCGCCCAACAAGGCGATGAAGACGGTGTCCACCATAGCCAGGTAGGTGCCTTGCCACTCTGCTCCTTCGCCCCCTTCTTCCTCCTCCTCAGGCTGGGCTGTTCGCCATAGCCAGGCTGAGCGCCAGCTGCCCTTCACCTCCAAGCAGTGCTGTATCAGCCCAGCGCTGTGCTCCAGCAGCATGTCGCCAATCCTTGCATACCCCAAATGAGGAGCTACTTGCTCCTCCGAAAGATATAGCGGCCTCCTGGCCTCCTGGGCGGTGACTTCCTAGGCCGAGCGGCCTCCCAGCAACCGGTACCTCCTCCCTTTCGGAGGGAAACATCATTGCAGACTCTGCTAACCTCCGGACAGGCCCTAGACCCGGGCTACTTGGACTGGTACCGGCCTACCTCTAGCCTACTGCCACTGGGCCTCTAAAAATGCCAACTTTTTCTCTTCTTCTGCTCGACCTCCAGTACCCGACACTTCTACCACTACTTCAGTGGTACCAGCCTACCTGCTACTTGAGTGTTTTTCCCTTCTGCTCTAAGTGTCGCGGGCCTACCCCCGCTACTCGAGTGTTTTCCCCCGCTGCAACCCTCAAAGTCACGGCCACAGGTAAGTACCAGCCCTGCGGGGCCTTGCAACCAACAAGTACCCTTGCGGGTCACACACACACTCAACCGACAAGCACTCAGACAGGCATGCGAAC